ATTCTTCCATGAAGGAAACAACGTGTAAACAAAGAAGACCACCAAAGACATGGTAGGTGAACTGAAATGGGTTTGTCTTTGCCCGCTGGTGCAGAAGTGCACTGCGCCTCCCTGTCTCTCGTTGTGCACGGTATCTATGTGCGCTTCACAAGAGCTAGAAAGATGACCAAAACAATGAAGATGGGTTGGAATTTGGTGTCATTACGTAACTTGAGACTGGTTAAGAGAAAGAGCTTGACGGTGAGAGGGATGATGCATTTGCCCTGATCAGTGTCTAAGATTCCTGTCTGTAGATGTGGGAAAGATCCCAGATGTTCACTGATGTGCTGGAGGAAATCTTGATGACAGGATATTAAGGGTGTCACCGGAATTAAGTCACAATCTCGAACTTGAAATAAAAAAATGAAATCGTCGATGTTGCCACGCCCCCATGTCACGTCCGGTCGGCGTGCCAAGCGGAAAAAAACACGCGTGTTGAAGTTCTGCGAGTCAACCTCCTCTAATTTAGCCACAGCCAGTCAGAAGATAGCATGGCAACTGCAGATGCAGGAGACCCATCGACAGAACTTGAACCCCCTACTCTTTCATTGAAGTCGCCGGTGTGGAAGTATTTTGGATTTCCAGTGAGGTATGTTGACAACGTTCGCGTTCGTGCTTCAAAAAAGCCACAGTTTGCAAGCTCTGCTATGTGCGTGTACCATATTCTTCCACTGGCAGCATGACTAACATGACAGGGCATCTCCGCAGGCACCACAAAAACATAGATTTATCTGTTAAACCAATAACTGTTTGTTTGTTTTGTGAACTTGAATGTCATCTTCTGTGAAGAAGACTGCAGTTACAAAAGAGAAACTGTGGCAGGTTATTTTGCTTACATTTCCAATTGACTAAAGATATAAGTTATTATATTAAATTATAAGCACTTTATGTTGTTAATAAATGTTTTAAATTTGACAATGTAGTGTGGTACATTGCGAACAAAGGTCCGATATTATATTGCATAAAAAGACTAGTCTAAAAATGGCATAGCAACCTGTGCTTTAAAATAAATAAATGTAAAAATCGAGAATCGAATCGAACCGTGAACTTAGAATCGAAAATTAAATCGAATCGAAGATTTGGAGAATCGTGACACCCCTACAGGATATGGATGTTACCTTAAGTATAGGGCTACTATAGGAAGCCTAATTCCTTCTTCCTATGATCTCATGCTTCCGGTGACATAATCAAGCAAGTGCTAAGAAAATGTGTATACTATGGCCAAACATGTATACTATATGGCCAAACATATTTTGTAGTGTACTTGGTTTTTGTGATTCGTTTTCTTGGTGAAGAATTTTGTCGCACCATTGTGTTAACACTGCAGGGCTCTGAAACAGCCTAGTTTTGTGAGCAAGACTCAGTTTCCCAGTGATGATATGGTACAAACATACAGAGGGGTAGCTGTCGCCAGCCTCATTTACACAGCCGATAAGAGGACCAGTAGAAGTGCATTTCTCCTTCTCCAAACATGTAATCTCCCAGCACTGCAAGCGTTCCATTGTCAGGTCAAGAGGACTGGAATGGAGCTGTGAACTTCCTGGAATCTGCCACCTCTGACTGTCTGTTGAAATTCTTCAGGCCTCAAACATTTGAAACAGCCACAGATGCTAGGCAGTCCACTCCTTCCTTTTGACTGCTTTCTTTCTGTTTAATCGAGAAGTTTCTTAAGTAGCCATTACAGAAGAGGAAGGTTGCCAGTCATGAAGCCATTGTTCAGTGGTCATGAACTGCTCAGGGCGGGTTGGTGTGCAGGAAGGAGCCGGTGTATGGAAATCAAACATCAAACATTTAGCTGAAGGATCAAAGCCACACTTGATGGCAGTTGCAACCTTGATGCAACCTTAGGGAAATATAAGAATCTCCAAAAGCTTCTCCAAACTGTTTTCCAATTCATTTTTTGAGACAGTCCATCTACTGCACCTGCATGTTCTGGAATAAAACGCACAGTAATACCTTTACCAAATAGGTCATGGGCGTCCAGTCCTGTTCCTGCTGGTTCAATTTCCTGCAGAATTTAGCTTCAACATATCTGCCCGAAGGTTTCTATTGATCCTGAAGACCTTTCTTACAGCCACCATAGTGTTGTGTTGAAATTTTGGCCATACATTGTACTAAGTAACTCTCCATTTAATGCTGCACAACAATGACAGAAAAGTGATTATTGTTATCTTCTGGTATGCAAGGTATGCAAAACTAGATAGATGCAAATTTGATCATCAATAGTGGTTTACATCCGTAAGTTTTAATAGAAGTACACGTGTAGCGAAGCCCGACCACTTGTTCAAATGCACCAAAATCAGACATCAAATAGACTCCAGCTTCCAAGTTCTCATTCATAGACCTGTCCACATGTTTCTGAGTGCGTGCAGCAAAACTCAGTCTAGAATTTAAGCCATAAATTCTAGACCATAGCCGTTTTGATTTGACTACCTGTGCAACAAAGCCTGTGATGTTTTACTATGGCAGCACAATCTATCTGTGTGACTTCAGCCAGAGTAAAATCATGAGCCATGCTTTTCCTTTGGGTGTGTATGTTTACAGCTTGGCTCCAACACATTGTCAGTTATAGTAGTGAAAGGCGTTGGCTGTTCTTTTGTAGATGAACATATAATTGTGTACTTTTGATATAAGCAGTGGTTGTCTAAATTTAGTGCTTTCTTTTTTACAAAATACTTCACAAAAACAAGCAGAAACCTGCATCGCAGTCAGCGTTGCAGTTCAAGAGCTAAATTCTCAATTGTGCAGAGTTGAGCAAAAACGGCCAAATGCATTCTTGTGGTGGAAAACCTTTTCTTCTTTATGCCTGCCAATTTTAGCATAAAAAAATAAGTAGTTATTCTAAGCCTCAGCAGTGTGGTAACCAAAGAGGGGGTGCTTTTTCTAGCTCATAAACGACATTAAAAATAACTTGAACAAATGTTTAGCAGATGAACGTCTTAGAAGGTGTTTTTTTAGCACGACCAGTGTTGTCCGGTTCACATACAAATGACTCTTTTTAGCAGGTTCTTTTGAATGAATTAGTCAAAAAGGCAAAAGAAATCAGTCAGACACAAACCAGCTCCCTCAAAAGTACTAAAAGAATCGTTAATGGAATTGTTAAGTGAAATAACCTAAGCAAATTAACGATTCGGGTTTGTTTCCCATTCTTTAAGGAAGAGCTCTTCACTTCAAAGCTTCTCATTATGTATGGAAGGTAACTAGGTTTCATTCAGACCATGTCAATTGAGGTTATAGAGCTTGACTTCAAAGGGTTTTTTTTGTGTTTTGGTCACTTATGGCTGTGACAGCTTCATAATAAGGACGGGTGATGGATCATCACTGTGACACCACATCGTGGGTGTATCCAGTGTCTGTGTTTTAGGTCCAATTCTATCCCAATGCCCCCTTGTCTTGAACTTTGACCTCACCGAACTGGGTATACAAACAGTCGATTCACCTTTAGGCGGACACTGTGGTTCCTATGACGTTCCTGTGGTCTGGTTAAATTGTTCTGTCATTACTCGGGAAGGATTTGGAAGTACAAAATGAAAGCTGTGGTAAAACAGAACATGTAGATTGAATAATGAAACAAAATATAATAAAGGAGCATGGAAAAGAATGCAGGCCATATTTCCAAGTGTAAATTAAGGCTCTGCGATGTGGCTAAAAATTATATCTCCATATCTTTCTTCTGACAATAATTAACATCTCTGGAAATTATTTCAGTGTATCAACAAACCAGCCATGCAGGGTAGCCAAGTAGAGTTCAATTTCACTTTCAGAAGATGTTTTCAGAAGCTAAACTTACAAAACTCCTGTGAACATTTTAAGGGATGTGGTTTTGGCATATTGGCTTATGGTCTTCAGAAGAATTGGAGAAGAATTGTCTCCCTTAAGGGCCACCATTGCTGAAGATCAAAGACTCCAATATCACTATTGAGTGGTCTCTTATTTTCCATTCTCCTGCCAGTTTAACACCCCCTGAGCTGGCCAGTGAGGTCAGGCAAAGGTCAGAGGTTAATGAAGTGCCCTTTGTTGTTCACAGGAAGAGACCATGTTATTTAGTGCTGTATATCCTAATAAGCTAACAGGAATCTCCAGAGGTCCTCAGACCATCTCATCAGTCTGGATCCCAGACGCCCTCCGGGGCTCTAATGGGAAAGACCAATGTGAACTACCTACCTAGCAACTCGTTTTTAGCATGAAGTTATGAACCTGAAAGTTAGAGGTGCAGTCATTTCTGCACCGCTAGTGGCACCAAAATATATCTGTCTAATAACCACTTACAAACCATCAGGGACACTCTAACAACTGCCTTGCAGAAATCCACTCGTCCACTCATAATACATCTATTTTTCCAGAGTTACCACTCGACACATTAGCAACTACCTAGCAAGGCCTACAAACACTTCAAACCCCACATAATGCTCTCTTCAAACTATCCAATTATTCTGACTTTTTTTGTTACAGGTTGTTGTAAAATTCAAGTGAATATGTCTGTGTTATTTCTGTACGTGGGACCTGATTGCTGATCCTGTGTATTGATGAGAGTCTATTAGAGATCATCACACATTACACAGCGAACGGTGAATGAAAGACAGCCTGTCAACACACAGCCCTCTCATTTGCTTCATGTGGCATATCAGCCGTGACTCTTTAGGATGTACTCAGGACAACTCGAGAACCAGACCGAATCAATTGAGATGAAATGGAATTGGTGATAGTTGAAATACTAGCCAGACCAAATAGTAAAAATATAACTGGGCACCCTGCTTTCTAGTCATTAGTATCAGTTCACCATCAGTTCTGAACCACTATGACTTTCTTTACACTGTACACAACTCCAGGTTGTGTGTCTCATATATAAGGTTTTGATGCAAATCTCAGCCCTAGCATCTTGTTTTGCTTCAAAAGTATAGTTTTTGTATTGACTTTCTTCATGTGAAGCTGACGTCTGTGTACTTTATCTTGTGTTGTAGAGTTACTGGGCTCCACCAAGAGGCTGAACATCAACTATCAGGATCCAGACGGGTGAGTTATTGTTCTGTTGTGGGTGAATCTCATAAGGACATGTCCAGGTCAAAACACAGGGATGTGAAGTGCAGAGTCAGTGAACACTTTCACAGCATTTTTTGAACCTTATATTTATCTCACAGCCCCACGTTCCCTGAGAGTGTCAGTGTGATCATGTTCGTGCATGTTGACTTCCTGTGTGATGCATCATGATTAGTTTTTGAAATTGATAGGGACAAGCTTTTGGGAAGTTGTTGAATCACATCAGCACATTCGTGGTACCGTCTTAAGCTAGCCTGGGAAAACCCAGACAACTTCCGGCAAATTTAGATTTGCTCTGAAAGTTAGTCTGGCAAAGAGCTCATTCAAGCCCATTTCCAATACGTCGAAATCGCGGCACCAATCAGAAACGTTGGGGTGGGCTTTACACGATGACGACAGCACAGCGACGGTGAAGGAGATTTTGTACATTTACAAAGATGGATGCCGCCGTGGAACTAGGGGTGTGACGGTTATAGTTGAACACCGTCATTAGAACTCTATAACCGCCAAAACCATGTTATTAAAATATTAACATTAAAATAATAGTTACAACTGAGAATGGTCTGGTTTTAACCAGGCTAGTCTTAAGCTAAAATGCTGTAAATGTCCTCTCCGCACACCTCTAACCTCTCTGTTTGTTCTCTGACAGACCGCTGAATAATAAATCGGCCGTGTCTTCATCCATCTTTGCTGAAATGATCATGTTTGGCCAACTTCATATACACACTAAGTGCACTATGAGCTATTAGCCTGTGTTTATAAGACTAGATCCCTTACCTGTGGTTCGTCTTAAACTGACCAAGTATCGTTGCTCCCACAGTCCATTAAAACATGCTATGTCAACAGTGTCTTTGAGATAAGATGGGCCTCTCTCAGGGCTGTAAAACGGTACATTGACCTCATATATTTTAAGTCGAGACTAAACCCCCCACCCCACCTCTCTGTCGTAAAGAAGAGAAAGGGGGGTTGGCCAGTCGAGGGGTCAGAGATGGCCATTCGTGGATAAGGACCGTAACGAATTAGATAGTGTTTACAAAGCACCGAACAGCCATTATTGAGGCCGGATTGGAAAGGCAAAAGGAAAACAGGGAATGATGGATGGAGATTTATGGGAGTTGTTGAGTGCTGGTCTGCTTTCTTGTGTAGCTGGTGTGAACAAATATGCCACTATATGGCATTTTAAATGGATAACCAGAAATATTCAAGATAAACTTGTGGATTAGACTGGCTGACGTCTTTAAAGCGGTCCACTCTGAGTTTGAACAAGATGCATCAGTCACGTTGTTTTATTTTGCTCGGTTAAGTTGCCATGGTATCTACTGACCGGCTTTTGTTATATAACATCTCTATCCAATGGAAATTTACTGACAGAAGAGGAAAACAGGAAAAATGGTTGAAAGGATGTAGGCTAGCTGAACTCACTTAGAGTGTGTGTAACACAGTCATGCAGAGACCTGTATCACTTATTAATGGGAATAAAGTACATAGACTCACCCATGTGTAGGAAGAGGAATCTGAATCTTACGAAATCTGCAACATATGAGTTAGACTTTGAGTTTATTTGACATAAAAAGTAGCAATTTAACATTGTTACAACTTCTTTGTGAAGGATAACACAAAGTTGCATTAACTTATTTTCCTTATGGTCCTTGATTTTTTTAACGAGACATTTTCATGATAAACCATGTACACAAAAAAACAAAAACAAAACATGTATACATATCTATTACGCCATCCTATCTGAAAACAATCTCTTCACACTTATACTAACAATGCGGGTCATACTACTCTCCAAAATCATAAAAATGTGAAAATATTTTTATGTATTACATTATTAATATATTTATACATTTTATAAAGAAAATTAAGCTACTTTTTAGGACCATTAGGATTTATTTCTGTGACATTTTATTACAATTATACAGAGCCCTGCACATGACATGCGGGGAAAAATACGTATATTGTGGCCATGAATGAACAAATAGTTCCCACAACTTGCTAATATGTCAGCACGTTTTACTAATTCATTCCCTTGTTGTTTAAAGTAAATCATGCACACAATATAATAATTTGTTCCATTGTTTTGGTTCAGTCAAAACGGGTGAACGAATTAGTACAACGTGGCATGATTTACTAAAACTAGAGAACGAATGATTAAAGGCACAGTATGTAAGTTTCGCCTCTAAATATTGCTCATTTAAAACAATAACAAAGGTGTGGCTTGATGACGCTGTGAATGAGTGTGGATTCATGGGAGTGTCGTCTTCACCTCCACAGCCGATGGAAAGCAATCCGACGGGACCCGACAGAAATCATGTTCATGGATGAGCGAATGTATTCAAGTTTTATTAACCCTACTGTGGTGTGAAGCAGGACGGCAGCGAGAGCCTGGGACATTTTACGTTGCTGTTTTTGTTATTCTAATATGCCGCTGACTCTCGTTTCGTTTTGATGTTTATGTTTATTTTACGAATAAAGTTATGGTTAAAGTTACGATTAACGTTCGCCTCATTCATCCCTGAACTTGAACTTTATTACAGTTACGTTTGATCACTTAAATTCACATTATTTTATTTTATTCTAATGAAACAGCGACAAGTGCTGAATTGCTCATACAGGTCCCTTTATTTTTACGGATTAAAATTGTGAGGTAATGCAGCGCTTTTTTACTTGGTCAAAACAACAAAATACATTTGAGTGTGTTGACAGTTATAACCTTACTCTGTGCGTTCGCTCTGTGACTGGCATGAGACACATGTTGCAGCTGCAGTAATCTAGATCAATATAAGAATATATTAATAAAAGCTGGATGACTTGTGTTGCTAAACGGCATGCAACTTATTTTAAGATGTATTGTAAGGTGGAGAAAATGCTGTGTTACTGTTACTACAAATAAAGCTCTTTCTGATTATGCTATGCTAGCCACTTGATAAAATAGTGTTGTCTCCGATGCATGACACAAACATGTTACAATCAAGAAAACGAGAGTTTCAAACAATAAGACTAACCGTGTTGAGATGTATAACAATGATTCGCTTTCTGTCTCTAAAAATATCCAAACAGTTCCTCATCTGTCTAATAAAACATAATGTTTTAAAGAGTCGCTGGTGTTTTCATGGTTTCTACAGAAGTAAACCAGAAATCGAGTGTAGCGCGGATATGACGTCATTGACATGCGACGCAATGACACGGTCCGTTACACTGGTTAAAGTAGCTGATTTCTCTGGATTTAAACATTGTTGGAAACATTTGGGATAATGTTGGAAACATTTGGGATAATGTAAGTACACAAAGTCAACAAAATACAGTATATAACATTGTTCTAGTGGTTTTTGGATATTTTAATCGAAAATTCTTACATATTGTGCCTTTAATTTGTGGCCACGATATATATATTTTTGTCTGCATATCATGTGCAGGGCTCCATATAATTTACATAAAATCATGCCAGACTAATGAGTAAATAAATAAGTAAATACTTAAAAAAATATATAATATAAAATAATATCCACAATTTTGTAAAAGGTGTTAGAGTTTGTTATGTATTTATATTATGCCAATCAAATAAACAACAACAACAACAGTATTTTTAATAATACAGTAATTCGAATGGGATAATGGGAATCACAACTGAGGATAATGAAGAAAAAAAAGTCATAGTGGCAATGATAATTTTTGTTCAGAATGTGCTTAGTTATTATAAAAATATCTTAATAGTGATAAAATAGTCTTCATTTACTCTATGCTTTCTTTTGATTTTGGACCTGAACATGCATTCGTCAGATACACCCATCTAAACTATGTTGGAGTTGCGACACTGTTGGGAAAGCCCTTGTTTCTGCATGCCACTTAATGATGACCTCAGCGTGCATCATACACTGTACTTTTGATTGTGAAAGTTTGTAATAGTTTTGCATGCCCAGGTCTGTTAGTAAAAGTGAAAAAATGAAATGCTTGGTTTGGGTGGTGGTGGGGGGGTTCCAGCAAATAATAGTGGTGTAGCACTGAAGGTTTTGCTTGTCTGTGAGACAAATTAGTATTTGAGCCGCCTTTGACTTTCTGGGGAACTGTTGGGATTTGTATGGGGGGGCGTTTCCATGGCAAACGTCCTGGAATGCGTGTGAATGAATGGCCAGGCCGGTGTGAGAGGGACTCTTTGGAGCCCTGTCCTTTGTCCACCCAGGGCCGCGCTGCCAGGACGCATCAAATCCGTCCTGACATCCCGCGAAATGAAGGCGAAAGTGGACAGGGCTTGTAACACAAGACCCTCGCTGAGTTCTGGGAACTTCTCCGAAATTGTGTGTTTGTGGGTAAATCAACAACTGCTCAATATCGCTGCGGGCAGTCATCGGACTGTCTGACCCGCTCTTGATATTTCCTGGGGTGCAAACCTCTGTTTTTGTCTGGTGTGATGGCGAAATGCAGCCAAATCTTGCTACTGATGAAGAACGTGGTAGAACATGATTCCAATTAATCGAACAAGTTTCATTGTATGTTTGAAACATTCCAAGTATTAAGTGAAGTGGTAATCTCTTATTGAGATGTAATTGTTGTTGAATGTGTTTACAGTGTTCTAAAGGTTTAGAAACAGCTTTAGGGTGTACCTGTACTAACATATTCCCTTAAATGTTGTATTGTGGGCAAGGCTTAACATTAAGGATGGCCCAAGGCTAGATGACAGTACTCATACTTGATGACAGTACTCACACTTGTCCTGTCGGGCCAGTGCTGCATTGTCACAAAATTTTGTTTGTTTGTTTTTATAACATTTGGTTTTCTGTCATGTATCCAAAATTGTTGCTAAGTAATGTATCCAAAAGTGTTGCTAATTCTTCTCATTTAAAGGATTAGTTCACCTCAAAATGAAAATTTCTTGATTATTTACTCACCCAAATGCCATCCAAGATGTTCATGTCTTTCTTTTTTTTCAGTGGAAAAGAAATTAATTTTTTTGAGGAAAACATTTCAGGATTTTT